TGGTGGGAATGCAGCCATTATGGAAAACAGTATGGAGATTCCTCAAAAAACTAAAAATAGACTTGCCATATGATCCAGCAATCCCACTCCTGGGCATATATCCGGAGGGAACTCTAATTTGAAAAGTTACATACACCCTAATGTCCATAGCAGCACTATATACAATAACCAAGACATGGAAACAACCTAAATGTATATTGACAGAAGACTGGAGAAAGAAGCTGTAGTATATTTATACAGTGGAATACTACTTAGCCATAAAAAGAATAAAATAATGCCATTTGCAGCAACGTGGGTGGACCTGGAGGTCATCATTCTAAGTGAAGTAAGCCAGAAAGAGAAAGAAAAATACCATATGATAACACTCATATGTGGAATCTAAAGAAAGAAAAAAGAAGACACTAACGAACTTATCTACAAAACAGAAATAGGCTCACATAGTAAATAATCTTATAGTTACTATGGGTAAAGAGGGTGGGAAGGGATAGACTGGGAGTTTGAGATTTGCAAATATTAACTACTATATATAAAATAGACAAGTAAGTTTCTTCCATATAGCACAGGGAACTACATTCAACTACATACTACATACAGTAGTAACTACATACAGTAGTAACCTGTAGTGAAAAAGAATATGAAAACAAATATATGTATGTATGTGTATGCCTGAAACATTATGCTGTACACCAGAAATTGACACATTTAAACTGACTATATTTCAATTAAAAAAACACAAATAATCAATACTAAAGATACTGTTCAATATGCAAACTTTTGGGTTCTGATAGGGTTCATAGGTAATAATCATCTTAAGAACTGCTACTTTGCTATGGTGAGCTCATCTGTATAATTAACAATGTTCAGTGTCATAATATGCTCGATATATGTTTAACTTTCTTAGATATCACTTATACATTATATTGTACAGCATTTGGCTTTCTCTTTCTGACATCTCACTTAGAATAATTCCCTCAAATTTCATACATGTTGTCAGAAATGACAGGATTTCATTCTTTCTAATGGCTGAATAATATTCCATACACCCTATACGTTCTTTGTTTATTCATTGACAGACACTTAGGTTGATTTCATATGTTGGTTAATGTAAATAATCTTACAATAAACATTGGACTGCTGCATCATATAATGGTTCTATTTTTAATTTTCTGAGAAACCCCCATAATGTTTTCCATAGTAGCTGTACCAATTTTCATTCCCACCAGCAATGCACAAGGGTTCCCTTTTATTCACATCCTCGCCAACACTTGTTATCCCTTGTCTTCTTGATGATAGCCATCCTAACAGGTGTGAGGTGATAGCTCACTGTGGTTTTGATTTGCATCTAAAAAAAGCCAAACTAATAGAAACAGAGAGTAGAATGATGGTTATTAGGAGCTATGGGATGGGGAAGTTAGGGATATTGTCAAAGGGTACAAATTTGCAGTTAGATGATGAGCAAGTTCTGAAGATCTAATGCACAACATTGTGATTACAGACAATGATACTGTATTATATACTTTAAAGTTGCTAAGAGACTAGATTTTAAATGATCTCATCACACACAAATAATTGCCTGACATGATAGAGGTCTTAGTCAATGCTCCACTCATATTTGTATTGCAATATATAAATGTATCAAATCAATACATTGTGTACCTCAAACTTACACAATGTCATATGTCAATTATATCTCAGTAAAAATATGTTTGATAACACCCAGGATCCCTTATAGGTTTTTAATGAATCAACAACACTGTTCTTCATTGGTCCACTAAAGCTGTCTCTTATTGGCTTGCTAGAGACAACTGGTAAATCATCAGGAATTTCGCAAGCTGGTTGTTAAACACAGCCATTATTAAATATAAGTAAGTTAAATAAATATATAATTAAATAAATTATGCTAAAAATAATAAATTCTCTAAACTCAACATCTATCATTTTACCACATTTTACTATTATTTGTTCTCTTGAGTCAATTATATCTGCTGTATTGTATATGTACAGTGGGATGCTACTGTACATTTCTTCCCAACTCCATCATGTTGGTAGGTTGAGCCATAGAGGGAATATTTACACAATGAAAATTGGCAGTCTTCTGATTCTACAAATCAAGTCTTGATTTACTCGTTTGTTCACTATTTCAATTTATGAAAGTTGATAGAGAAATGTTAATAATGCAGATTAAATTAGAAGTGTGATTGTCATTCTGTCACCATTGCATTGTGAATGTCACAAAAAGTTGAGTAAATATTCTGTTTCCAAAACATTTGATTCAACAAAGAAGGAACTCACATTACTGATGAAAAATAAACTCTCAATAAACATATTCATTGTTTCACTTTGTTTAAGTCATTAACATAAAACAGAAATATCACCTAACATTCATGGTGAAATTTCATTTGTTAATAGCAAACATAGTTGGCTACAGTATAAGAGTTCACAAAAAAAATCAATGAAAACATTCCCTGAAAATCAACTGGTTATAAGGAATTTACAATTAAGAATACTGTGTATTTTATTATTATTTGTAAATTATATGCCATAGATCTCTAATATCACTAAAATATATATCACACATGTTCATATATATTCATATATTATATATGCATATTTGTATGTCATGCCTGTTTCTTCCAGACAGCCAAAGCTGTTAAGCATTTACCTGTACACCACTGTCTTTTATCATTCCACTTTTTTCTTTAATTTTCATTCACTGTACCTAAAAATTTAGATTTTGGTATACATATCCAGAAAAGAGTAAATACAAACTCCTGCCATCTAAAAAAGTGTAACATCCAAGGGTAATAAAGATCCTAAGTATTTTGACATGTGACAAAGTCAAAGGTAACTGTTCTTTTTTTCTTATCTATGAAGTGTGGGATAATCAAGATCTGAGGAAAAATGAACCTATAAAATGAATCTGTACACAAAGCAACAGTGGTCTCCTTGGGTCTTATAAGTCAAGGAGTTAGGACCCTATGTTAGAATTTGTCTTCTCCACAACTTCTATTCATAGAAATCCAAAGCATGACAGATACCCACATTGACTCTCCAGCCTAATTTTTCTATACATCTACATTGTGCTTTCCAATCCCTGTTCCTTTTTCAAACTCTTCTTTTCACTTGGGATGATCTCACCTCACAAACTCCTAGATGAAGAGTCTTATCCCAAATACACCACTAGGGACTTAACCATCAGTTCTGAATCCACTAATCTGTCTGTTCTAAGAAGGCTGATGGTATTCTCTTCTAAACAGACTTCTTATAATCTGTTCTAATACCTCAAAGTCCATATATTATTTATGTATGTTGGCCCCTCCAGAGAAATCCATGACCCTTGTCTGAGGAAAAACATCAGTTAAAAATGACCTGTAAAGCATTTTGTAAGCCTGAAAGTGTGTGTGTGTGTGTGTATGTGTGTGTGTGTGTGTGTGTGTGTGTGTGTGTGTGTGTATATATATATATGTATATATATATATATATAATTATAGTTACATAGTTATACACATATAATTATATATACATATATATGAGTGTTTTGCAGATGGTAAAGCTTACCATTATAAGCTGTTAATATTATGTTTTTATTGATACCATCATAATTTTTCACGATAGCTGGCCTCCCTTCCTTTTCATTCTTACCACCTGTTATTTTTGACCTGAAACAGTAAGAGGATTTAGTTGCTCAAAATAAATTAGGAAAGTCAGGAATGCTGAAAAGTGAATTGGAGAGCTAGCATTAGAGAGAGGCATTGTATTGATAGGGGACCTTTAATGATAGATTTGGCAGTCTGACTTTAATCAGTTAGGTTTTTGCACAGGGAAGTGTTTGAGGATAATGGCAAGGAAAGATTATTCTGGCTGAACTAGGTACTGTGGATTGGAGCAAGGAGGTAATTATGGAATAGAGCTCTCAAATAACAGTAACAATGATGATAATAATAATAAGGAGGAGGAAGTGGGGGTGGCAGAAGAGTGGAAGGAAGAGGAGGAAAAGAGAGAGAAATAGCAGCTGTAGCTAACATTTACTAGGCATTATATACCAAAAAACCTAAAGATAATTATCTCTGGTAATATTTACAACAATTTTTAGCATTGGCATTATCTCTATTTTGCAGATAAAGCAACAGAAGCATTGAGTCATTGAGTACTGTGCGTAAGGTCACAGCTAATGAGTTTTATCTGAAAGGTAAATCCAGGCAGCCTGACTCTAGAGCCTAAATTTGAAACTACTCTGTTCAATAATTTAGAGATGTGATTTCTTTGAGGCTGCCATCACCCATGATGGCTCAAGATAAGATTAACTCAAACAGTATTTTGATAAAAACTCACTTGAGAACTTCTAAATTTGATAATTTGTAACAATTAGTTTACAATTGCAAATATATTTGTATTTTCTTATTGGGGACTACTATAGACACCAAAAATATACACTGTAACAGTAGGCTTAAAGTGATTAAAACCAGAAAATATGGAAATTCCCCCAAGAATCTCAGAACTCAGGAGAGAGTTCATATCAATCCTCAAAAGTAACTAAACAGAAGCTCTGTACAACAAAAGCTAGGTTCAAGATATCAATCTTATTCACTGTTAATAAGGGATCATAAACTTTTCTAACTGAGTGCTTACATAGCCAATTTAATTCCACCAAGTATAATGATGACATATTTTTAAATATCTATAAACTGTGAACTCATACAGAAACAATCTATACTGAGCTTATTACATACAAGGCAATTTACAAATGAATCTCTAGGTGTACTTTCCACACCTTCCATGGCTAACCATATTTAATGATTCTTTTCTGTTGAGTTCTGTGACTGAAAATGGATAAATCAGTATCTCTTTGATGAAATGTATTCATATTTTAATAGTCCCTCTTGCAAACTTTTCTCATTTGTAAAACACATCTTTAATACAATGGTAAAGCAATGATAAGAAATTTTCTGGTAAATAGATTAACCCCTTACAAAAAAAAGGAAAAAATAGGAAAATTCCCACTACTTAGAAATTCTTACACACTAGAAAAAAAAACACAAAATAACTTACAATTGTCCAGCAATAACTTGGACAACATTATAAGCCACATCACACACACATACACACACATAGCTTAAACAGTACAGAAGAGAAGGGAAGGGACAATGTATCCAACTGCCGTGATATCTAAAAGCCCAGAGCCAAAAGAGATCAGGTGCTAAAACTTTTACAGAAACAGGATTAAATAGTCCCCATGCAAAGTGAACCAATTAGTCATCCAGATGTTTCCAGCTGGATATTTAGTGTACAGAAAAGATCCCAGTTGAATCACTTTTTTCCCCCCACATTACAGGCAGCTGTTAATAGTAGCAATTCTAAAGCAATTTAATAACTATCCTTTGAATCCTGAAATTATAAAGCTGAGTCTGTCTCATCACATTTAGGTCCTTAGCATCACAATAAATTATTTTTCTTAATTCTCCTCAATAGATTTTTGTTGTTGTTGTTACTATTGTTTTCTTACCTGATCTTCTCTTTGCATAGCTTGCTGTTCAACTTTGTTCTAAAGAGAAAAAAGGATAATTTATGAAGAAAATAAGGCCAAGGAAGAGGAAACAAATTTTTTAAAAAAAGAAGTTAAGCTGTTAAAAAAACAAAGATATGATGAACGATGTGGGTAATTTCTGCATAATGAATTTCAATTCTATTTCTGTGGGAATTGTTTAAATGCATTAAATAATATTATTTTAGTGCTATTATTTAATCATCTACAAATCAACCTGACTGTATTTATATCCAAGCAACATTTCTCCATATATAAAATATTCATGTTTGGAGAAACTTTACAAATAAGCTCTTTAAGATAAAAAAAAGTCCTATCTCTTAAGCTTCTGGCATCTCTCCCATTCAAGATTACTGATTCATCTTCTGAAATAATATGTATATGTATTTAGTTCCCACACTCATACCCTGAGTTAAAATTCACCTGAGTCAGGAGACTTGTACCTTTGGCAATTTCATTTCTGAGAAAAGAAAACCATAATAAGAACTATTTCTCTGGTCCAAATTCTGACTACAGAAGAAAAAGTATTTAGCAGTCATAGACGCCTTGGGAGAGAGTGACCATGTCATCTTATAGTTAGTAAGTAGTAAAGAAGGAAGGGAATGGTAGGCATAGTCAGACACATGTCTTGTTATTAATAGAATGACATTTCTAGCAGCTGTCCAAATAGTTCAAGTCCACCATCACAACTGTAACTTACCTCAGAGTCAATATAAAAATCAACCAGCTACCAATTCTGAAATTTAACTATGAATGAACTTGAGGAACTTCCTGCTTTACAGGCTATGTAAGTGACAAATCACCTACTGAGAGAGTTAACATAATTTCCATAACTTTCAGTTTACCATGCAACCTGCCATTGTGGAGCCACACATCTAGTCAAACAGTTGGTCAGACACTAGTTTTTAAATTACACATCTTTAGTCCTTATATTTAATTTTAATTTCTATTGACAGAACTAGAAAAATGAGATTGTAGAAGAAAGACAAAAAAAGATAAGGTTATTTGAACTGCATAATTTTATAATTATTTAAGGTTTTTTTCCTTGGAATGCTGAAGAATAGAAATACAGGAAGATGGAAATTAATTGCAAGCATATACTGATGGTTAAGACATAGCAAGAACTGTAAAAGTTAACAGATATGAAAATTAGTTGCATAGGCTCCCTTTACAGAACAGAACATTTAGATATGAGTGGAAGGCTTAAATATTTGACCACTGAGTTTAGATCATCTTCAATATAATTATAATATAACAAATGAAAAGAAGATAGAAAAGTGATCATGTTTTAGAACATACAATTAATTAGCCATACAATGGTATCACAGAAGGCAGAATAAGACTACGTCCAGTTTACATTCCTAAGCAGTAGCAATCATTTTCGCATCTAGGTATCTTTCTTTACCAGTACACTTAAAGATATTTCATTAATAAAGTCACTCAAATTTTTTCATTCTTTAACATGCATTGCTCTGGGATACTTAGCAAATAAATTAATTGATTTTTTCTCTCATATTTAATCTGTTTAGAGCTACTGAAATCTAATTTCATTGTACTTGAAAAGAAGAAGGAATAAAGGGCATTTTAATGAAAAACTTCTGCATGCCAGAAAAGTTTATGTTTCTAAGATGGGAGATAAAGATTTTTAAATTTTATTCTCAGATAATCTCTAAAGAAGTTCATTGCAGGTAAAATTAACTTGTATGAGTTAAGTCTTGAAGCCAAGAAATCAGTTACTGATCTTTCCTTCTAACTTCTGAACAGTAAACCATCTGCTTTGTCATCATTTAAATCACATTCCATTCTTCTAACATAGTTATAACTTGAACCATTTGTTACACCAACGTGGGCCTAAGAAGCAACTGGATATATTTTTAAAGGAAGCTGTACAGTAATCTCTATATTTCACAGAGGGAGGGAACAATAGCCTGAGTATCTGCAAACACTGCTTGGCAGTCTAATTTCACTGGAATTTTTAAAATGAACTTTAAGAATTAGTTCCACCATGGAAGTAAAGGCAGACCTTTTTCTACATCCTTCTACTCAGTATTTCAAGAGGAGTCACATAAGAAAATGAACTTTCAGAATGTCTATTGCTCTATTGCAAAGTTGAAAGTACGTGAGATTTTACACAAAATTGAGCAATAGTGGCAATTCTATCTCTTTCAGAATTTCTTAAATACAAGGAAATAATCCCTAAAATAAACTATTAACCCACACTTGATGGCATTTTCTGTACTGAAAAGCTGGAGACAGGAAGTCACAACTTAGGTTTCTTATTATAGAGTGAAGAATTCTGCCCAGATTTAAGCATGAACTAGGTTTGAGGACGGACTTAAAAAAGAACACAGAAACAAATTAACCTTCCATGTAATAAAATGGATTACAATATGGACTTCATGAAATATGATTATCATCATTCCTTCTATTTTTCATTTTTGAAAAAATTATATCCTACTGATTATTTCCCAATTGCCATTTTTACTAGAATAGAGGATTAACCGCAAATCCTTGGGAAGGTGCCCCAAATTCTCTAAATGGCACTAGTAGTTTATTACAGTGATCTCTAATATCAGGAAGACATATTGGAGAGTTGTAGTTCAATTAATTCCTATTATTTAATTCCAGAAAAAAGAGACTTCACCCACCTCTGAGGGACAGAGTCTTTGCTGTCACAGAGCTGAATCTGTACTTATAATGATACTCTACTACCTTATCATACTTGTCAGTAATTATTTTCATGTAACTTAAACTTTAATTACATAAAACACAATTTTCATTTATTAACTGGTATAAAACCCCAATGGTTACCTTTTGATGCAAATCCAAATTAATTTGTCCACACTGTCAGATGAGTATGAACATATCTATAAACATCCATACATCAATAATCTCCTGTTTCCTTTGATATTATTCTTATCTAGTATTGTTCCTGATAATTAACTCAAATAGAAGAGAAACCCCAGCAGCAAAAATGGTGAATTCACTAAAGACAGATTTTCAACTTCATGCTTTGATGACAAATTCATTGAATATTTCCTGTCTGCATGAGGCTATACATTTTAAAAACTGTGATTATATATCAGCATCTGCCAGTAAATGCTCCTTTTTCTTTCTAGAAAAGAGGGACTTCCACCAGGGATGTAAAAGTCCTACTGGGGTTTTTAGTAATACTACTTTCTTAATTGAGAAAAGATTAATATGGGTAAGGATGAAAATTCAATAATTCTTCTTCTTTAGCTGATTTTAAATATGCACCTAATAATAGCAATAGCCCATGAAGCAAATGATATATTTAAGAATGCCCCAACAGAAGTAACACAAATAAGTTTATTACATTTGTTTGACTTATAGCTTCCTGTCAAACATACTTGATTTTTAATATAGGAAAATATTTTGCCTCAAACTTTACTGCCCAGAAATTTGTGATAAAAATTTCTTTTACCTGTCTAGTAATATTTCACATTGCTGACAATATCCTCCTCACATATATCTCACTGAAGTTCTAATGATTTCCTGGTTCTTCTGATAGCCTCTGGATCTCTCTTATTCAGTCTCTCCTTCACCTCTCTTCATCCTTGCTTCGTGCTATGATTGGGTGGTAAGAACACTGAGCTATATCTGAATTCCAGAACCATGTCCATGATTTATTCATCAAACAATCATGGAGGAAGACAATTAAACTCTATGACCCTCAGCTTTTTCATCTATAAAATAAGCACAATAGTATCTATCCCTAATGTTCCTTCCTTTCTTTCTTTTTGTTTCACCATATCATTTTTTAAAAATTTTTACTTTTGTGGGTGTTTTAAGACTGTCAAGTGTTCTTATCTCTCAAAGTTGTTAAAAATCATACTAGAATATGGGATTGTAGTTTATAAATGATTCCTTGCTACATAAAGTCAAATAGTATTCTTAAGATAATTCTCTCAAAATCTCCAACTTGAGCTTTCTGATTTTCTTTACCAACACTTCCCAAGGTTTCCACCATCACCTGGTATGGTGCTGGCTTTCAAAATTGCATCTCTAAACTTGATTTCCCACTCTCCAACTGCATATAAACTATATTTGATTTCTATAAAATTGTACTATCAAATGTGTTGAAAAATCCAGTTATTTTGCATCATTATTACTTTTTATCTATACTTCTTAATTTTGTCTTTTATGACATATTTAAAAATCTGTAGGCATGTAGTTCATGTATCCACGTTTCACTTGACATAAAAGAAATTATGACGAGTTTCTATTAAATATATACCAAGGAGAATAGTTATATGATTGCTGATGTCTCCTCTCATTTTTCTAGTTTCACTCTTCCATGAAAGCATAAAAATAAAACAAATACACTCCTCTTCCCTAAGAGATCAGTTGCTATTTAGAGCCTGTCCCTTGACCACGTTTTCTATTTGATTATTCTGAGCTCACATTCTCTTGAGCATTTTTCTTTTAACAGAGTTATGATTGTTCCAGCCTGGAAGCTCCAGATGGCCAGTTAAGATATGATATGATACTTGGCTCAGTTTCAGAATCTGAGTCAGAAATAGCCTTACTAAAATTCATTGCTCAACCAGCTACATAAAAATTCATCTATCTGTGACCTCTAGGAACATATATACCATTTCAGTTTGACCTTCCAATATATTATCACAACCCATGCCTTAGGGACTATACAGACCTACAAAATACCATATTTCATTGGAGGAGGCAGGGGTTATTTTTTGTGCTTTAAAATCTCTAATATCAGGATGTGATTGGTTATTCATGTGGGAAGAAAGTATTGGACTAGCTTAATTGGTAGCATTTTTTTTCTTTCATAGTAGTGAAATAAATCATGTTACACCTCAATAGTAGTATCTTAAATTTAATGAAATGTGGTTTATAGCTTGGCTATTCAGCCAAAGTATCTTCAGTCAGACAGAGCCCAGGCAAGATAAACACGGTCATGGAACATTTAGAGGGTATAGATTTTTAAGATCTTCAAGATAATATATACCTCAAAAAACTTGACGGAAGTACTAACTTATGCCTTACAAATCTTTTTTTTCTTTTCATCAGAGGAAGATCCTTTGAAACACACTGCTGGGGATGGATAATATGGTAGCAAAATCACAAAAAATAATTTATGAGATTATCTAAAATCAAGGATCAACTGAGTTGTGATCCCAATATATTCCAGAGAATGGCTGCCTAGTAGGGAGAAATTGATACTGTTAAGAGTTTTTCCTTCATCAAATATTTTTAAATGGTATTCTACTTTGTAGGGAATAACTACTTGAACTCTTGATATAATCAATTGTCTCCGCTATAAGTCTTCCATATAGAAATAACCTAGTGTTTAAATAGTCTAGGTGACTGTTGTTAAAACTTAGCCCTTTTATGACTGACACACTCAATTCCTTCAGATTAGTGAGCAAGGATTCTCACGGTGTTTGTTAATAGTCTCAACTGAATACCTAACTTAATGGGATATAAAATGTAATCAAATACACATATTGCCATACTCATCTAAAGTCTAAGTAAATTATGAAGGAAAAGATATACAGAGCTTCATTTTTAAAAGAAGTAAGCAGTGAACTTACATAAAAAGTGAAAGGATAAAAATTCATCCAAAAGAGATACGGCATATTAGGATAATTTAAAATCTCTAAGATTATAAAGATTAGAAATATTATAAATCAATATTTTTAAGCTTGTCAAGGGAAAATGTGAAAAATAAAACTCATTAGACACAATTAAGTACATTAAAGTGCATGAACTACTCAAGTAATTAAAGGTTCTCAAATTATTTGTTGAATGGGTGATAGATTTCAGCATAATCACAGACCTGAAAAAAATGAAAAACCCCAAGTTTTCTTTATCTTTGTTACATAGCTCTAGGTTTGCCCTTTGTATTTATTATTGAGCTTTTGGTTGACTTAGCTATTATATAAAATGGCAAGTCTATTTCTAGGTCCAAAAACATCTGTCTAGAATATCATATCTGGCCTTGATTACTCCATCATTATTCTTTGATTCATTTTGGGCCTCAGTAGATATAGCAGTCTTCTCAATCCTTTGATCTTATAGGAATGTTTTATATTGAAGTATAGTCGATTTACAATATTATGCTAATTTCCAGTCTACAGCACAGTGATTCAGTTCTATATATATATATATATATTCCTTTTCATATTCTTTTTCATTATAGACCATTACAAGGTACTGAACATAGTTTCCTGTGCTAAACCTCCACCTCTGACTTTCACTTCTGGCAGAAAGTAACTTTATGAAAATTATCTTTGAGTGTTCTCAAGAATGATAGGACACATTGTTCTCAGGGCAGAACAAGAAACAGCAACCACTTCAGACAATGCCCTTATTCAAATATAGGAATGAAAGGGGCCCACAGAATTCTTAAGAACAGTAATTAGAGACCATATCAGTCAAAATTACCTTTGAACTGTAAAGGCAAAAATTTGCAATTTACTGTAGACCATGTAGCACACTTCTTCCATTTAATTTTTTTTCTGAACCAGAAAGACTGACAATATAGTACAGTGCTATACACACCTTTTTATAAATATTAGCAACTGCTTTTAATATGATATCCTGGTGGTCAGTCCGGATTATGCCAAGTTCATTAAGTTTTTGCCGCGTGATGTCATGTAGCTTCTCCCCATTGATTTCTGCTCTTTCAAACTTTTCTCCATATACCAGAAAACTATAATCCAACTCTGAAAAAGACACAAAAGAGTTAGAGCTGATGTCAAGGATAACAGAGACTATGCATCCTTGTGAGGATAACTGTACGATTCTACTGGCATAGACTTGCTTGTGGCACTTTTGTCATTATCAATAGGCTGTTCACATTTTGTATTCCAACATGCCATCTTATTTCAGCATCATTAGTCAGAAGGGCTTAGGAAGGACAAATTTGTGTAGGTCTTTACAGAAATTCTTAAGTACAAGATTTAATTAACAAAAGAGACCCTGTTAAATATTCAGGTACAGCCAGAGATGGTAACTGAAAGCATATTTATAATCTGTTCTAGTAATACCTAAAATAGATTTAATTGAAATGATATAAAATGCGGTTTTTGATTTGTGACTGTTTTAATATTTGGAACTTTATTAACAACAAATCTACATAATTAATATATGTGAACTATTGGTGGGGTACAATCTCAGGTAAACTGCTTCAAAGCAGTAATCAAAGCAAAAAAAGATCCAAAATTTCTCAGGTGTATGTTTTAGTGAACAGCTTTTGCCATAACTTTAGATCTATTTAGAGAGAAGAAATTAGAGCAACCATAAATAACATAATACAATGTATTATATGATGGAGAAAATAATATAACCTGACATGAAAGGTTGCTGAGCTATGAATAACTAAAGTCATAAGGAAACTAAATAAATTATGAAATTATCATTCATCTTTGGTTATCCATTTTAACAACAAGAGTATACAGTGGGAACAGTGAAAAATAAACTTAAAATTTGCTTGAAATTTGATGTTAAACTTCCCTGTGACAGTGAGTGTGGCTAATTAATACTCTGAGAACTACTAATATAAGCTGATTAATACAGATTCCATTACTTTGCTTTTTAAAAAAGAATAAGTTAAGGGAATGTCTACCTTTACAAATTGTTAGGAGTTTTGCTAACTAATAAGTTAATGTAAATAAGATTTCTTGAGGAATATTTAAAATGCTTTTTTGAACTTGTCAAGTACTTTACAAGCATATATTTCATTGTGCTGATATGCGAATTAAATCTTATTTGAATTCTTATCTATTTATTAAAACAAGACCTACTAATAATCTCTACTAACTTACTTTGTTAGTTTCATTCTCATTATAACCTACCCTGTACAACTATATTTCTTTTATTTTTAATTTTTATAATTCTCTATTGATATATATTCAGACTGGTCTTACCCTTGATTACTCATAAATTAGTAAGGTTTCTTAAGGCATTTTAAATTTTAAAAAGTGTAGTCACCCAGAATAACGTGATTTACAAGTTTGAGTCACAGTATTATTCTTAAATACTGTGTGTATATGAATATGTTCATGCATGTGCTTGTATAAATTTTAAATTTATTTTCTCAAATGTATAAGTAATTAATATAGTCATGACCCATTGTATATTTACAGGGGTTGAAATAAGCTATCAAGATTATTCTGTGTGTTTATTTATAAATAAAAATGATTCAAGAATTTCTTTTAGTTTAAGAAGCTGTAAGACCCACTGTCATAATAATAACTAATATCTGCAACTATTCTAAACACTTTTCATATATTAACTCAGTTCTCAAAACAACTCTATGACAGAGGAACTGTCATTCTCCCCATTTTACAGATGTAAAAACTGACTTCAGAAGAGGTAAATTACTTACTTATGGGCACATAAGCTTGTAAGTGGCTGAGTCAGGATTTAAATCCAAGAAGTGTAACTCTAGGTCCCATGTTTTTAACCAATATGCTGTACTACTTCTCTTAGTGATTGAGATGGTCTAAGATTGGAAATGGCTTTTATGAAACCCACAAAATATCTTCTAGAATGGTATCCTCAAAGATGTAAGAGACATATGACCACAATGTCAAAGTAACCTAAGTGCAGCCAGCTATCCATATCTGTGAATTTTTGGAATGACTACAATCCATCTGTACAATTCATCATTACTTAGTTTCACTCATTCATTTGCTCAGCAAAGATTTAATGAATGCTTCCTATGCACATAAAAGTGGCTAGAAATTGTGGGGGATAAGAAGAAACACAACACAATCCTTGCATTTAAAGAACTTATGATTTGGCTTTAGGCAACTAAGTAAAAACACACACAAAATATTAATAAAAGATATGTCACACTAAAAGAAATATGCCCATCAGTTAAGTGAATGAGAAATACTGTAGGTATTTGTTAATATGAGAGGTCAGAGATCAGAATGAGCTTGAGTTACTGGGCAGTATCTTCACATACATGTCCTTCACAATGAAATTGAAACCCAGTATTTTCTACCAATATAGACAGCATGTAATTCAGTTTCACCAATCAATGCTTTACATTCCTGCAATCCACTGTACTGTGTATGGATTAATACAATGCTATTTTGAGTATAATTTGGATTCTTATATGTATGTGCTGTGATTTTATCTGCAAAAGGATAGGAAAATAAAAGAATTCAGGAAAAAATGTATATATCGCTGAGTTATATTAGTCAGAAATTGGCTAGCTGAATTATTTAAATCAATACCACAACTGTAAATTAAAGAGGTGTATCTATAGCCAAAACAATTTCAATTTTTCTGAAACTCAATTAAGAAAATCGTATCTATCTATATTTTATAAAGAATTAGTATACATGTGAAATAGGGGGAAAAAGGCCAAAAAAGACATCAGTTGTATCTCAAAAGCTCTTCATTTACTGATTTTAAAGCGACAGATGAGTGTTAGCATTTTAACTGAGAGTTTCTTTAAATTAATAAGTCATAAAAACTGTATGTGATGGAGCCTAGACATACTACTATGAGCAGACTACAAAATTAGAATTCAGAGATAGCCAGGAATTTCAAATATACAAAACAAACCTGGCACCAACAGAAAACTGTCACTTTGTTTTGATGTTACAGATCAACGGTCGTACATAAGGAAGATGCTAAATAAACCCAGTAGAACTTATTTTAAAATACAGGAAGAAGATTGTAGAAATAAACTAGCTTGAAGGAAAACATATAGTATGAAATTTCAAAACTAAATGAGCAAGCTATTGTAAAACTCTACCTAAATATCATGAATTATATTTAAAATGGCTATTTGAAATTACATATAAAGTTAATTCTCACTGTTTTCTTCTTTAATGAAACCACAAACATAGATAATTCATAGTAAATGCATAATACACATCTAATATATATTCAAAAATCCAAGAAGGGCACGTTAATTTGTGTGTATTATATATGTGCAATTTGCAACATATATGTTTCCTAATTTTTGAATGGTTTATGTTGCTGTTTATCAGATGTTTACTACTTGCACCCTACTTTGAGAAGAGTGTAATATCAGTAAATGGTAACTATACTTTTTGAATGCATGTGGTGAAGTGTTTAAGAACACTTGTAGTAAAGATGTTTCTAAGAACACTACTTGCTTACTATATAAAGATCAGTGTTTATATCAGTCAATGGAAGTTACACATTTACTTCTTTTTAACATCCACTGCTGTCAGTTGTGGAATTATACACTGCTATCCAATACTCAGTTCACACCTATTTATACACATATTGTTTCAATGTTTAACAAATATTGAGTCATTATATAACGTATTTTTAATTACCCTTTATAGAAACACAGGACATTACAATGAGAAAATGTTCTAATTAACAAGTACCTAATGCTCACTTGTTTTCTACTTTAAAAAAGACAGAATGAAAAACTAGCCCAGAAAAAATAAATTTAGAAGGAAATTTAAAAACAGGGAAAAATACATACACATATTCTGAAAATTCAAGTGTTAAAAAGCTTTAAATAAGAGCCAACAATAATAAAAACATATTTTCATAGATTTTTATTGATGAAATCATGTGTGAAGATGCAATATCTAAAAGAACTGAAGTAATTGTGCAAAATGGATGAATCTCAGGGGAGAAACCCCTCTTACTTGTTTGGAGAATTTCAGAGTCAAGTTTATTCATGGCCCTTAACTTGCTTGGTACATAAATCAGATTATTTTAATTATACCTATCTATTGTTCCTTCATAAGGTTTTTCCTAAACAACTGCCTATTAAACTGAAAAATATAAAATCAGTTCTAAATTTTTGTCTTGCAAAAACAAACACAAAACAAAACATAGCAAAAAAACACCCCAAGGGAAAAATTAAAATTGTGCCCAGAGTTTAAAATATTTATATTATTATCTGAAAAACTCTTTCAGTTGTTTCAGTAGTACCACAACTGATGTACAAGAAAATTGTGCTTCCTAAACACACCTGGGAAAATTGCTATAGACTAGGATAGCAATCAGATCCATCTTACACTGTACTGCTCAAAATATTCAGTAGAGTATGTGTGGGTTTAATTTCAAAGCATACCAATTAAATCACAAGTTATTTAAAAATTGAAAATGAGATTTGAACTTATGAAAGAACACAGGCAAAATGTCTAGATCATAAGATGATCATATATAATACTATGCATATATTTATATGCATAATCTATAGAAGGCATAATACAAGTGGTATATGCAATAGTTATGAGTAAGAACACTAAACCAAACCACCTCAGTTCAAATCCAGGCCCTGACATTTGCTAGTTATATGATTTCAGGAAAGCCACTTCATCTTTCTAAACCCCAACTTCCTAATGTTTAAAATTAAAGTAATGTTCGCACCTTGCCCATAGTTGTTGTTAGTATCAAATAAGATAATGGAAGTAAAGTGGCCTCAGCAGAGTGCATAGTAAATAAGCAATGAACTAGAAGGGCTATTATTGCTGGCGATAGAATGGGTGGCAAGGGGATTTATTTCCCCTAAATTGCTCTATGAGTAGCTCAAGAGAACCCCTTAATAAACAGATGGACTGGACTCAGATCTACTTTGCCAATCACCATCTTAATTCCTACTTCTTCCTGGATTTCTTTCAATGAAGTCTGACTGAGAAGTTAGATGGCAATGATCCGAGAGGACTGGGAAATAAGAAGATAAGAAAAATACATATTCAAAGGATCCATAGAT